AGCGGTGAAGCCAAGGCAGAGGAGAAAGCTGGCGGAAGCGCCGGCGCAGAATGGAACCAGGGCCGACGGCGAGAAAGGGGGGGCCGTCAGCAGGGGCAATGCGGCAACCGGTGCCAACGGTGAACCGGGCAGCGCTGCGAGCAGGCGCCGGCTGCGGGCTGGCGGCGAGCAAGGAGCGAGCGTGAGATGAGCTAAGGCCGGCGAGCAGGAGGCAGCGCGAGCTGAGGGCCGGCGGGAGCTGGGGCCCGAGGGAGCTAAGGACGGCGAGAGCTGGGGCCCACGAGCTGGGGCCGGCGCGAGTTGGGGCCGGCGGGAGCTGGGGCCAGCAGGCTGGGGCAGGCGAGCAGGGGCCAGTGGGCTGGGGCCGGCGAGCTGGGGCCGGCGAGCTGGGGCCGGCGCGAACTCGGGTCGGCAAGCTCGAGCCAGCGAGCTGGGGTTGGCGCAAGTTGGGGCCGGCGAGCTAGGACCGGCGAGCAGGGGCCGGTGAGAGGGGCCAGCGAGCGAGGGCCGGCAAGCTAGGGCCGACGAGCAGCGGGCCACTGGCGAGCTGGGTCTTAGAGTTAACGAATGACTAGAATGAGAGATACAAGGTGGGTTTGAACTAGTATGTTGTACCCTCTAAGAGCATGCACCTATCTAGCCTATAATAACATATACAAATGTGTTTAACACAACCCCTAGGCGAGATGAGGGGCAGTGCCTGACAAGAGACACGCAGCTCAGGGTGGCACTACTAGTCCAACCTCTGAGGCAAGGGTCCGAAGACCAGTTAGCAAGAGGACAAACTAAACAAGAGTAACCCAGGACGGCACTACTAGTCCAGCCACTAGAATAAGAGCCACAAGGCCAGCCAAGATAATATATGAGACAGTACACAATAAAGGTCCTAGCAAGTGAGAAGCTACAGGAACTAGACCAAGCTGTACACAGTGCCGCTGGTGATCTTTCGGCGCAAGCGCCTTCATAAAGATATCAGATGTGTTGGCACCAGAGGCCAAGTGTACTACGCGCGCCTGACGGCGCTGCTGTAGCTCGCACAGGAGGAAGTACTGCAGCTGGATAAGCTTCACTCTGCCCTCTAGTCAGGGCTTCTGACACAGGAGGATCATGGCCCCGTTGTCAGCGTACAGGACCGGGGCAGAGCTAGGCCGCTAGGGCAGTGAGCAAGAAGGTCAGCCAGCGGAGATCTCAGCCTCACAGCTAGACTGGGCAACTGACGACAAGCGGGTGGACCTCCACGAGATGGAACCAGCACCAAGGCTAAAGCAATAGCCCTGGGGGGACCTGAACGTCTCAACGTCGTCTGCCCACGAAGCGTATGTATGCCCTATAAGGACCACTGGCCTGCGTCCTCCTAGCACTAGCCCCAAGCCCTCTTAGCAGCCGACCAGTGGTGTGGTCGGTATCTGCCTGTGGCCAGAAAGCGAGCCAGGATGCTGAGAGGGTATGCGAGATCTGGACGAGTGCAAGTCATCAGGTACATGAGGCAACCCACCAGCTCTACGTACGGCCCACTAGGCTCTGCTGACTCCTCAGGGACTGGAGACGAGAGCCTGTGATCCACTGGAAGAGGTGTGGGCTATGCGGAGGAGAAATGAAGACCGAAGGACCTACCACACCAAGTGTGACTATGTGAGAGTGATGGTGCGCACTGCTCTGTCCCTGGCGATCTGCAGGCCAAGATAGCGGCGCAGCTCTCCTAGGTCACTGCATGTGTTTCTCCTTAGCAGCTCAGCCTTCACGGAGGCCAGCGCGTCTTTGTCTGCAGTAGTGAAGACCAAATCGTCTATGTAGACAAGGATGTAGAACGGGGTATGGCCTGAACGAACGAGGAGCGAAGGGTCTGCAGAGGATAGAAAGAGCTGCAGTTCAGCTAACATAGCACGCAACATGTGATGCCACTCACGTGGCACCTGCCACAGGCCGTAAACCAAGCCCCGGAGGAGCCACTCGGTGCTAGGGGGAAGGTACTGCAAAAGCCTGGCGGGCGACGCAGGTAGACCTGCTCGTGCAGACTGCCCTGAAGAAACGCTGTAGAGAAGTCCAGAGAGTGCAGCTCATAGTTACGCTGTACTGCTACATATAGTAGCGCCCAGACCTTTGTCTTCGGGTTCGGGGCGAAGGTCTGAAAGAAGACAACGCCCTCGCATTTACTGAAGCCTCTAGCAACGTAGCGTGCCTTGAACACCGGTGGCTTTCCAGGAGGGCGCTTCACCTTGAAGAGCCACCGGCCATCGACTATGTTCACCCGAGGTGGGGGAACTGCGTCGACGTAGGTGCCGGTGGATCTCCAAGATGCCATCTCCGCATCTACGGCAGCTATCCAGTAAGAGGCCCAGGGTCCCGAGAACACCTCAGCGTAAGTGTGAGGGGTCGGGATGTAAAAGACATCTGGGTCACCCTCAGGGACTAGCGGCGTGGAGCAGAGATGAGGAGCGGCCTTGGACAGGAAAGCAAGCTCGAACTGGCGGTCCTCCAGGACGTCACTGCCGAGGGCTGGAGCACCCCCGACAGACAGAGGACAGGTAGTGTCAGAGACCAGAGCGGTGGCGTAGTCAAGGCGGCGCCATAGAGGCAAAGTCAGCAACGGCAGCGACGACGGAGGAGGCGACGGGAGGAGGGGAGAACGAGGCACATGGGAACGGAGCAATATAGGGTGAGAGCACTCAAAAGGAGAGACAGGATGAGCACGAGAGGGACGGTGAGACCAGAATTGGGGGGGAGGCATCGGAGACACAGGAGGAGACACATGAAGAGAACGAGGGGGGAAACGAGCCGAAGATGAGTCCAGCGGAGGAAACACAGGGCCGTAGACAGGCAGGGGAGGCGGAGGCGAGTGGTCAGGGGAGGAAAATTTGAGGAGGCGAAGGGCGGACACCGGCGGCAACCGCTGCTGCTGCTCCACACCGACACCAGAACCTCCAGCTGCACCACTACTACCTCTGGAACGCTCTACGACAGCACCCCCAGAATTAGAACCCGGGCCAGCACCGATGCCACCCCCAGGACCGCTGGGACAAGTCACGACAGTACCCCCAGGACTAGCATCCCCAAAACGAGAACCCTCTCCAGCACCAATGCCACCCCCAAGACCGCCAGGACAAGCCACAATAGTACCCCCAGGACCAGCACCCTCCTCAACGTCTGCACCACCAGAGCTCGTGGACCCCTGCGGCAGCGGCTGCAGCAGCGACGTCGGCTGCTGCGGCGGCGGCGGACGAGGAGACACCAGGGCAAAGACAGGCGGCGAAACCAAAGCCGCAGGGCCCCCAGAGTCAACCGACTCCTCCACGGGGACAATCAACGGGAGGGGAGTGACATGAGATATACCAGACGGGGCAGGACAGGGAGGGAGGGGAGCAGGGGCTATCGGAGAAGTGGGAACCAGGAATAGGGGGGGGGGAATCAGGAGACCTCGGTGGGGAAAGCGGGTGTAGAAGGAGACAGAATCGTCAAAAATGACGTCGCGAGAGTGAAAGAAACGGTGAGACGACGGGTGGTAAAAGTGCCAGTAAAACGCGTCGAGGGGGAAGCCAAGGAAGACACAGGGGACGGTGTGGGCAGTGAGCTTGTCCGTGCCAGAGGCACGAACGTGAGCAAGGCAGCCCCAGATGTAGAACGCAGATGCGTCACCAGGGGACCCGGTCCAGAGAAGGGTCGGCGAAACCTGCGATCGCTGGGAGTGCGGCCACATGTTAAGCTGGTGAGCGGCGTAGAGAATTGCGAACGGCCACAGAAAATGGGGTGCACCGACATGGATCATGGAAGTACGAGCCACCTCCATGACCAAACCGATGCATCGCTCAGTGACCCCAATCTGCTGCGGGGAGTCTGGCAGGGTGTACGACTGGGTGATGCCCTCCGCACGACAGAACGGGCCAAGCCGACCGAAGGCGAACTCGCCGCCACGGTCGGAGTGAAGACACAGCACGGGGAGGCGACGTCGGACTCGCGCAGCTACAACCCACAGGATAAGAATGTCAGGCACGTCGACCTTACGCTCCACGGGAAGCATCGCGGTGTAGCACGTATAGTCATCGACAAGCACTAGAAAGTAGCGCTCTCGACGCGGCCCAGGGACGGGGGCTGGGCCCCAGACATCCAGGTGCAAGTAGTGGAGTGGCACAGTGGTAGGGGGAAGCGAGGAGGAGTGAGGAGCATGGCGCAACCAGCCCTCGATGCAGGGCGTGCACGGTGGCGCACGCGAGGGAGGGAGGGCAAGGAGTGACGCATGGAGACCTACGACAAGACCGTGATGGGGCATGTCACGCAGACGCGAGAGTGCGGGGTGACCTAGGCGGTGCCAGGTGCTGTCCACCGTCTGAGTTGCTTTGTGTTCCGTCTCCGTTTTTACGCATGTTGAGATTCCTTGGACTATCTTATCTTTCAAACCTCTTAAAATCCCCCGCTCGTCTTTCCCGCCCCCTCCAGGCATTACCAAGAGGAAGGCGGCCAAGGAGATTCGCCACTTCGCCCCCATGCTCACACGGCTGAACACCGTCGACCGCAAGTTCTATGTCAGCCTCACCGCTGTGCTCAAGACCAGCGACTGGAAGATCCACTACCCCAATCTCGTGGGGTTGTGGGTGGCGGTGGTCGTGCTGCCTCTCAGCACTGTCGAGTGCGTGCGTGGCTTCTCCCGCCAGAACCTGATCAAGAGCTGGCAGCGCGGCAGCCTCAAGGATGCCCGGCTTAGCGATCTCATGGTGATGTCTATGCTAGACTATACCCCGGATTACCCCGCTGTAGTAGAGATCTGGAGGGCCTACAAGAAGAGAAGGCCCCATTCCACCTGTAGGCCCCGTCCCCAGAGCAGGAAGGGCAAGGAGAAGGTGGATGATGATGATTGTAGTGACCCCATGGATGATGGGGGGAAACTAGATGCTTATGTAGACGTCTAAGATGAAATGTAATGACTGTCATTAATGAAAGTGGCTTCGTGAGGTTTCAGTGTTTTTTTTTAAGGCTGAACATTCAGCGATACTTTTTTAGTCAAGGCTGTAACATTCAGCCTTTTTTTCCAGGGGGGGGCTGAGAAATCAGCCTAAGTATGGGGGGCAAGGATGATAAATCAGCGTGCCTAAAAACGAATCTTGGGGCCTGCTCAGCACTGTCCCTTATCTAGCCTCTCTTATACATATGTTTATATGTAGAAGTTATAGGCTAGATAGGCTTGTATTCAGAGGGTGCAACTCCAACCCTTCATCCTCACCTGTACTCCCTTGTTCTAATTATTCCGTTACTCTGTGAAAACTGCCAAAATATCGGACTACCGGTGTGGTTCCTTATTGCTCGTCAAAATTGGCAAACTTGTCAAAATTCGTAATAGCCATAACAGGCTCAGTGTCTGTGATAGTGTGCAGCTGAGTCAGCAGTAGATGGATCCACATAAGATGGCCATTGCTGGTGCTGGTCTAGTCTCAAAGGAGACCCCAGGTAGTACGATGAGTCATCGCTTCTCGACTGGACTGGCCTTGCACGCCCCTCCTGCTGCTGCCTCCCTTTAGTCTCCCCCCCATTCCCATCTCCTGTGTCCTCGTCTTGCCCCATGCCATTCCCCCACTGCTCCTGCTCATTTCGCCCCACACCATCACTTGTTGAGGGTGCGTCAATGGCTTGAGGAGAGTCAATATTGGATGGGGAATCTATGGCAGGTGGGGTGTGTGTGGGCTGAGGCGAGCCAAGACGACTTGGATCTTGTGTTTGAGCCTCCGTCCCATGGTTCTGGCCTTGCTTATAGCGCTCTCTAGAGAGGCCAGCCGCTGCTCCTCGTGTACTGTGAAGCCCTCTCGTGCTCACTGCTCCCTTGCTGCCACCTGCTTCACCTGCTGCTGCCTCTTCTCTTCCCCTTCCACTGCGCCTTCCTCTCACACCCCTCTCACTCCGTTCCTCATTTCCATTCTCCTTCCCGGTGCCAGCAGTGTTCCCTTGCTTTCCTCTCACTCCCCCTCTCCCTGCGCCCTCCTCCTCCCTGCCCACAACCCCCCCCCTCCTCTCCCTCTGCAGCATCTCTTCCTGAGCCTTCCTCGCTCTCACACTCGCCTCCCTCCTCGGCCTCCCTGTCTCCACCCGCCGCTCCTCCTGCATCTCATCCTCCTCTCCAACCCCACCACCTCCAATGCGTCGTTTCTCTTCACCGACCTTCGACCTTCCCTCTCTTACCTTGGTCACCTCACCCACTGCTCCGTTTCTAGTGCTCTCCTTCCTCCTCGTCCTCCGTGCTGCAGCCACCTCGTCCTCAACCTGCTCTTCCTTCTCCTCCTGCTTCTCCTGCCTTTTGCCCCTACCGGCACCCACCCTACTCCGCCTCTTATTTCCACTGCCCCTCGTTCCATCACCACCCGCCCCAACCACACGCTGGCTTCCTGCCGACCCTCCAACGCTTCCATGCAAGCCTGCGCGCAAGCGCAAGCGCGCGTGGGCGTGCCTCTTCGCTGCACGTGGGGCCACCTCGGCCTGTGCCGGCTGGAGGGAGCGCGGTCGCTTGCGAGGGGGCGGGCGGGAAGGAGCAGGTGAGGGCATGTGCGCTGGCGATGGTGGACCGGCACTGTCACGGCGCTCGTCACCAACCCCATCCTCATCGCTCGCACTCTCATTGCCCGTGTCACTGTCACCGTGGCCATCATCGCCGCCTTCGTCATAGCTGTTGTTGCTGGCACGCGCGCCAAGGTCACTACGGTCAGAGCCGGAGTCCGTGTCAGCATGAGGCTGCCTGTCAGGAGCAGCGTGGTTCCTTCCATAAGCACCAGCGGCAGCAGCTGTCCTCCTCATGGTTGAACCTGCCTTCGCTCCTGTGCCGTGAACTGCGCGGTGAACGGATGGCAGAGCACTCGGTGCTGCAGCAGCAGTGAGCTCGTGTGAGGCAGTCAGCAGCGGGGCCGTGTGGGATGGCACCGACATAAGCCGCGTTGCTCCACGTCTCGCCTCTCGGGATACCTGCAGGACGTGGTTCAATGCGGTGCGATGCCATACGGTGAGATGCAATGCAATGGCGGCCTATCCAGATGAAGTTGGCCATTTGAATCGAACACAGCATGTGACGGCATCCAAGAGCAGCACAGGAAGCCATGGCACTTAAAACGAGAGCACACAACCACCACACACACGGGCTGAGAACACTCGCACGTCTCCACAGACGAGCATTGCAGCATGCGGCCCTTCTGCGCGCCACTCACCTGCTTCTGCCCGCCACTCACCTGCTTCTGCCCGCCACTCACCTGCTTCTGCCCGCCACTCACCTGCTTCTGCCCGCCACTCATCTGCTTCTGCCCGCCACTCACCTGCTTCTGCCCGCCACTCACCTGCTTCTGCCCGCCACTCACCTGCTTCTGCCCGCCACTCACCTGCTTCTGCCCGCCACTCACCTGCTTCTGCCCGCCACTCACCTGCTTCTGCCCGCCACTCACCTGCTTCTGCCCGCCACTCACCTGCTTCTGCCCGCCACTCACCTGCTTCTGCCCGCCACTCACCTGCTTCTGCCCGCCACTCACCTGCTTCTGCCCGCCACTCACCTGCTTCTGCCCGCCACTCACCTGCTTCTGCCCGCCACTCACCTGCTTCTGCCCGCCACTCACCTGCTTCTGCCCGCCACTCACCTGCTTCTGCCCGCCACTCACCTGCTTCTGCCCGCCACTCACCTGCTTCTGCCCGCCACTCACCTGCTTCTGCCCGCCACTCACCTGCTTCTGTTGCACAACTGACGCCTTGCTGTCCTGCTGCCGTCCCTGCAGCCCTCCCTGCTGCCCCTCCTCCGCCTCCACCTCCTCCTCGTCCTCTTTCTCGTTTTTCACCTTTTCCGCTCGCCTCATTCTCTGCTTTGACATCCTCTGCTGCCGCTTACTCTGCCTGGGAGTCAAAAGAGCACACCTCGCACTTGGCGATTCCAACTGCCCCTCCCCCTCCTGCACCTCCTCCTCCACCTTTACTCTACTGCGGCCTCTTGTCTCCCTGCCTTCGCACTTCGACTCCATCGGCTCCTCCTCAGCCGCCTCTCTCCCATCCACATCCGTCACACCTCGATCGCGCTCACTCATCCGTCTCTTCTTCGCGTTTCGCCGCCCCTTAGTGCGCACACGGAGCTTCTGCTGCAAATCCTCCTCCTCCCCCTCTTCGTCATCATCCTCCCTTTCCTTCTCCTCGTCCTCCTCGTCCTCTTCATCCTCCTCCTGCACTGCATCCTTCCGTTTTCTCTTCCCTGTCGCCATCATCCCAGCCTTCTTCTTCTTCTGCTGAACTCTCTCATTCCGCCTCGCCTTACTCAACCCTCCCCCCACCTCCCCTTCACCCGCTCCTCTGCCCCACCCGCCTTGCCTAACGTTCCCTCCCACCTTCACTTTACCCTCCTCTTTCATTCTCCCTCTCCCTTTATCCTTCACTTTTTCCCTCCCCTTCTCCCTCTCCTCCTTCCTCTTATCCCTCTCCTTCTCTTCCCCCCTCCTCACCACCTCCCTCCTCTCCCACTCCTCCCAGTCAACCATCCCTTCCACCGCCCCCTCTCTCCTCGCCTCTTCCACGTGCCCCCACCACACTCCCTCCACGTGCCTCGCCTCACTCGGCACCCACCACCCCACCTGCGCTTCACGCCGCCCCCCGCCCACTCGCTCACTCACCACACTCTTACGCCCTCTCGCCCCTCTTCCCCAGCCCCTCTCGCCAAGCACCGCAGCCTCGAAGGCGGCCAATCGCAGCGCAACAGCAGCGCAAGTGAGGGGCACACAGGGCAGGAGCGTTGGGAGGGGTGTGACGACCAGTGAGGCGGCCCCTGCTGTGCCTCCTGCGTCCCTGCCAGAGCCCCCTCCCCTCTGCGCCAAGCCCCCGTTGCGCTGCTCCTCGCCCGTGCACTTGCCTGGCCTCGCCCCTCCCCCTGCGCCTGCCTTGCTCTGCTCCTTCCCTGCAGCTGCCTCCATGGCATCCGCCCTGCCCTCCTCCATGGGGCGCCCCGCCCTGCCAGCATCACCCGTTGCCTTGCACTCCTCCTCGCCACAGCCCCTCAGAGCACCACCCATATCTGTATCTGTGGCACAATTCCCATCGCTCCCACTCTCTCTTTCATCGCCCTCAATATCTCCCACAATCCAGCTTTCACAATACTTCCCACCCTCCTCCTTGCCTCTCCCTCCTTCAATCTTTAAAGCCTGGCCCACATTGTCACCTCGCCTGCGTGACGTCCTCGAAGCCAATCGCAGAGCGACAGCTGGCGCCGGGCTAAAGGAGCCGTGGATCAAGTGCGAAGGGACGGCAGCCTCGAGGTGGCAGAGCAGCTGCAGGGGGCGGGGGGAAGAGGAGATGGTGGAGGGGGCGGGGGGAAGAGGAGATGGTGGAGGGGGCGGGGGGAAGAGGAAATGGTGCAGGGGGGGGGGAGGCCATGAGGACGCTCGACAGCGCGCGGGAACAGCAGCCTCAAGCTCCACATGCCACCGTGTGTGTCGCACATGCAGCGAGTGCATGGCAGCATGTGTGTCCCACATGCAGCGAGTGCATGGCAGCATGTGTGTCCCACATGCAGCGAGTGCGTGGCAGCATGTGTGCCCCACATGCAGCGAGTGCGTGGCAGCATGTGTGTCCCACATGCAGCGAGTGCGTGGCAGCATGTGTGCCCCACATGCAGCGAGTGCATGGCAGCATGTGTGTCCCACATGCAGCGAGTGCATGGCAGCATGTGTGTCCCACATGCAGCGAGTGCATGGCAGCATGTGTGTCCCACATGCAGCGAGTGCATGGCAGCATGTGTGTCCCACATGCAGCGAGTGCATGGCAGCATGTGTGTCCCACATGCAGCGAGTGCATGGCAGCATGTGTGTCCCACATGCAGCGAGTGCGTGGCAGCATGTGTGTCCCACATGCAGCGAGTGCATGGCAGCATGTGTGTCCCACATGCAGCGAGTGCGTGGCAGCATGTGTGTCCCACATGCAGCGAGTGCATGGCAGCATGTGTGTCCCACATGCAGCGAGTGCGTGGCAGCATGTGTGTCCCACATGCAGCGAGTGCATGGCAGCATGTGTGTCCCACATGCAGCGAGTGCATGGCAGCATGTGTGTCCCACATGCAGCGAGTGCGTGGCAGCATGTGTGTCCCACATGCAGCGAGTGCGTGGCAGCATGTGTGTCCCACATGCAGCGAGTGCATGGCAGCATGTGTGTCCCACATGCAGCGAGTGCATGGCAGCATGTGTGTCCCACATGCAGCGAGTGCGTGGCAGCATGTGTGTCCCACATGCAGCGAGTGCATGGCAGCATGTGTGCCCCACATGCAGCGAGTGCATGGCAGCATGTGTGTCCCACATGCAGCGAGTGCATGGCAGCATGTGTGTCCCACATGCAGCGAGTGCGTGGCAGCATGTGTGTCCCACATGCAGCGAGTGCATGGCAGCATGTGTGTCCCACATGCAGCGAGTGCGTGGCAGCATGTGTGTCCCACATGCAGCGAGTGCATGGCAGCATGTGTGTCCCACATGCAGCGAGTGCGTGGCAGCATGTGTGTCCCACATGCAGCGAGTGCATGGCAGCATGTGTGTCCCACATGCAGCGAGTGCATGGCAGCATGTGTGTCCCACATGCAGCGAGTGCGTGGCAGCATGTGTGTCCCACATGCAGCGAGTGCGTGGCAGCATGTGTGTCCCACATGCAGCGAGTGCATGGCAGCATGTGTGTCCCACATGCAGCGAGTGCATGGCAGCATGTGTGTCCCACATGCAGCGAGTGCATGGCAGCATGTGTGTCCCACATGCAGCGAGTGCGTGGCAGCATGTGTGTCCCACATGCAGCGAGTGCATGGCAGCATGTGTGTCCCACATGCAGCGAGTGCATGGCAGCATGTGTGTCCCACATGCAGCGAGTGCATGGCAGCATGTGTGTCCCACATGCAGCGAGTGCATGGCAGCATGTGTGTCCCACATGCAGCGAGTGCATGGCAGCATGTGTGTCCCACATGCAGCGAGTGCATGGCAGCATGTGTGTCCCACATGCAGCGAGTGCGTGGCAGCATGTGTGTCCCACATGCAGCGAGTGCATGGCAGCATGTGTGTCCCACATGCAGCGAGTGCATGGCAGCATGTGTGTCCCACATGCAGCGAGTGCATGGCAGCATGTGTGTCCCACATGCAGCGAGTGCATGGCAGCATGTGTGTCCCACATGCAGCGAGTGCATGGCAGCATGTGTGTCCCACATGCAGCGAGTGCATGGCAGCATGTGTGTCCCACATGCAGCGAGTGCATGGCAGCATGTGTGTCCCACATGCAGCGAGTGCGTGGCAGCATGTGTGCCTTCGGCGACTTAAGAGCTGCGCTCCGCGCACCTATCCTTCTCCTCCCTCCCCCTTCTCCTCCTCCTTTCCTTTTCCCCCTCCTTTCCTTCTCCTCCTCCCCCCCCCCCCCCCCTTCCTTCCCCTCCTCCTCCTCAATGGCGTCCGATTCCTCGGTGGACCTTACCTCCGTCGACGCTCTTGAGCTGCTGCCTGACAACACCGCGGTCATTTGGCATTCCTATGCCCAAACCGTCACGGTGCTTCTCTCCTCGGTGACGGTCAACGGCTACAACCTGAAAGCCGTTGTCCCCTCGAGGAGCGCGGACTTCAGCCTGCCCAGCCGGATGTTCCCGCGGGCCCTGCACCTCCTCCTCCTGGCGATGCTCCCGTCAGCCCGGTTTTCCTCCAACCTTCGCCCCTGACGTCAACGACCCTCAGAGCTCCGAGACCGCCATCCGCACCTACTGTGCCGGCCTCACCGACCACGTCCGCCTACACCTGCTCTTCGAGGCTTTCCGCGCCGAGCATGACGCCGCCACTGCCGCCTACAACACGTATCAGGTGGCGCTCGCGGAGTACGTCAGGCGCGAGCGCGCATACATGACGGACCTCGCCACCAGGCGTGTCGCTGACCGCCGCGCGCTCACCATCCTCCTCGCCACCATTCCTCCCACCCTCAAGCGCGAGCTTGCTCCCACCTCCTCCTCCCACCTCTGGCTGCTCCTCACCGATCTCTATGATCGGCAGGACGTCGCCACCCTCTACTCCCTCATCAAGGAGTTCCAGAGCCTCACCATGGACTCTACCACCGGCGCAGCTGCCTTCACGCGTTGCGTCCTCAAACTCGCTCGGCGCCTGGCGGCTCTTGGCGTGCCGTACCCGGACCCAGTGCTCTGCTCCCACCTCCTTGAAGGCTTGACTCCTGCCTTCGACACCCATAAGATCGCCTACATGCAGCTGATCGACAAGCGCATCACCTCGGCTGAAGTCGCCCACTGGATTATCATCACCGAGGCCAACCTCTTGCGCCATTCCTCCTCAACTGCCGCTGTTGCTCAGCAGCGCAACACCAGGGGAGGGCGTGGGGGTGGGCGTGGCGCTGGTCGTGGTGGTGGTGCGGGTCGCGGTGGCAACGGCACAGGACGTGGTGCAGCAGCCGCCTTTCCTCCTTGTCAGTATCTCCCTCGCTATGGCCCCACGCGGGGTCAGTGCTGCGGCCAGACCACTCATGCCACTGACTCTTGCTTCAAAGCGCTTAGTGATGAGTGGTTTGCCCGCGCAAAAGGCACCCCCCCCCGCTACTCCTCCCTCTCCCCTCGCCCCACTCCTCAAGAGGTTCGTACCTCCCCTCTTTTCCAACCCGTCTCCTCCCCCTTGGCCCACCAGGCCGTCTCTCAGCAATAGCAGCAGCAGCAAACTCCGCAGCAGATCCTGCGGCAGCCGTTTCAGCAGCAGCAGCAGCAGTTCCAGCAGCAGTTCCAGCAGCAGCAGCAGCAGTTCCAACAGCAGTAGCAGCAGGGGCAGCAGCACCTCTTCTCCCAGTTGCAGCAGCAGCTCCAGCAGCAGCTTGACCTCCAGTCGCAGCTTCCCCTTGCACCTCCTCCTATGGCTCCCCCCCAGCAGCCCTACCCTGCTTGGACCGCCGGCACCGCCGCTTCTGCAGCTCACCTCTCGGGCGCGTCTCCCGCGCCCTCAGCCACAGGCAGTGTGACTCCTTTCCCCTCCTCTGGTTTTGTTGGCATGGTTAGTCAGGCTGGAACCCCCGCCCCCTATGTATTCGGCTGCTATTAATGAGAATGTGATTCAGTACTCCGTCCCACCTCCTCCCCCACATCCTCCCCCCTCCACCACACTGGACTTTGTCCTTGACAGTGGAGCCACCGAGTCCGTCCTTCGTGATGCTGGTACCCCCTCCCAGCCCCCACCTCCCTCCTTGGTGCCGATTCCAGCTTCTCTATTCCCTGTCGCCACACCTCTACCCTCCCCTGTCCCCTCTTCCCCTCAGGTACCGTCACTGGTTTACACATCCCCTCCCTCCGTACTAACCTCCTCTCCCAGCGATCCCTTCAGCAGGCTGGTATCACCACCGTCTTCCCTGGTCGCGCTAATCACTGCCTCCTATACCATCCCACAGGTCGCCTCCTCTCCCGTATTCCCTTTTGTCCTCGCTCCCACCTATATACCCTTCGAGTTCCTTGTCTTCCCTCTGCCCAGGCAGTCTCCCGCTCCCTCCCCCCACCTCACATCCCTCCCCCTCCTCTCCCTCCTTCTAACCCAACCATTCCCCACCTCCCCCCTGACCCAACCTGCTCCTGTCGATCCCTCTGCCATCCCACCGTCCTCCTCCACCACAGGCTTGGTCACCCCAACTTTGCCACCCTCCGCTCGACCGTCTCCTCAGGTCTCCTTCGAGGTCTTCCCCTCACCCTCCCTCCCCTCCCTCCCTCCCTTGCCCCTCCCTGCTCCGTGTCCAGAGTAAGCTCAAGCGGCTGCCGCATCGGAGTTCCCCCTCCCCTGCAGCTCAGCCGCTTGATCTTGTTCACATGGACCTCTGGGGCCCCAACCCCTCCCCTTCCCGCCAGGGCCATCGCTACATGCTTGTTCTGGTCGATGATCACAGCCGATATTCGTCCGTCTCCCTTCTTCGCTCAAAGGGTGACGCTCCGGCTGCGATCATCGCCTGGCTCAAGCAAGCGAGCACCCACTTTGGCCGCCCTGTGCGCCGCCTTCACTCTGATGGCGGTGGCGAATTCCTTAATCGTCAGGTAGCCTCCTACTGTGAGCTTCATGGCATTCGCCAGACTCACACCCTCCCCCACTCCCCCCAGCAGAATGGTGTGGCCGAGAGCCGTGTTCGGGAGATCACCAAGATTGCTCGGTGTCTCCTCGTCCATGCCTCTTGCCCCCCTTCTCTGTGGGGCTATGCCCTCCTTCACGCCACCCTTCTTACTACCCTATACCCCCACCCTATCCTTCCCTCCACCACTCCCACTGAGCTCTGGACGTCGGCCAAGCCTGACGTCTCCTCCCTCCGTGTGTGGGGCTCCAGGGCGTATGTCCTCATTCACCCTGCGGACCGCCCCCGCACCATGGGAAAGCTCGCCTCCCGTACCCTCCCCTGCATCTTCCTTGGTCATAATCCCTCCTCCCCGAACTACCTCTTCCTTCACCCCCCCTCAGGTCGTTTCCTCCGCAGTCGGGATGTAGTCTTTGATGAGTCCACACCCTACTATTCCACTCCTCCCCCCATCGACCCTCTCGCCCCTGCTCCCAGGCCCCTCACCTGGTCCGACACTATCCCACCCCCTCTTCTCCCTCCCCCTCCCATCCTCCCCCCCGCTCCACCTCCTCCATTCCCCGCTGCCTCGGTCCCTAGCGCTCCCCCCTCCTCTGGTGACATATTTGACCCTGACCCTTTCTTTCCCCCCGCCTCCCCGTCCCACTCCTCCCCCTTCGCTCCCTCCCATCCTCCCCCCTCCCCTCCTCCCCCCTCTCCCCCGCGACCCCCTCCCCCCCTGCGTCCCACCCGCTCCATCCTCACCCGGTATCCCCACACCAGGTCGCGTGACGCAGTTCTAGGTGCCCCGCCTCCTGTTATCCTCACTTCCTCTACCTTGCCTCCTCTCTCCCCTCTCATGGACCTCCTTTTTCAGACAGTCTTACAACAAAACAGTAGCCCAACCCTGCCGTCGAGCTCCAGTACAGCAGTCCCAGCAGCAGCAGCAACAGCTGCAGCAGCAGTTCCACCCACCGCAGCAGCACCAGCAGCAGCAGCCATCGCTCCTTCCTCGCCTTCACCCGCAGCAGCAGCAGCGGCGGCAGCAGATGCAGCAGTAGCAACCGCCTCAGCAGCAGCAGCAGCAGATGCATCCTCAGCAGCAGCAGCAGCAGCAGATGCATCCTCAGCAGCAGCAGCTGCAGTCCTCCCATTCATTTTCCACTCCTCCCTCCTCGAGGACTCCCATGAGGAGTTCCTCAACCTCCACCTGCATGATCCAGCCCTCCTACCCATCTCCCCTGACCTCAGCGGCACACCAGTCTTCGCCTTCTCTTCCGCCCCCACCATCTTCGTCCCCGCCACGTACGAGGAGGCCATGGCGTGCCCTGACGCTCACCTCTGGCTCGCGGCCATCCTCAAGGAGTTGGAGGCGTTTATTGCCAACTCCTCCTTTGTGGATGTGCCCCGGCCTCCCTCTACCACGAACGTGGTCAAAGGGAAGTGGGTGTTTCGGGTGAAGCAGCTTCCTGGCGAGCCGCCGTTCTACAAGGCCCGCTACGTCGCCAAGGGCTTCACCCAGCGCTACGCTGTCGACTTCTTCGACACCTCTCCCACCGCCAAGCCCGCTACCATTCGCGCAGTCCTCGACCTCGCAGCTCGCCTCAACATGGAGATTCACTCCATGGACGTCTCCAACGCATTCCTCCAAGGGGTCTTGCGCGAGCTCATTTACATGGAGCGTCCTGCAGGCTTCCGCCTCCCCTTTCCTTCCGACTCTGTCCGGCAGCTGCGTCGACCAGTCTATGGGCTCAAGCATGCACCAAGGGAGTGGCATGCCAAGCTTGCTGCCACCCTCGCCGAGCTTGGCTTCAGCACCTCCCGCGCCGACCCCAGCCTCTTCCTCCGCACCTCCCCCTCCCCCTTCAACATCCTCGTCTATGCTGACGATATGATCCTCATCACTGCCGACTCCGCCGAGCTCGAGCGCGTCAAGCGTGAGCTTGGCGGCCGGCTCAAGTGTAAGGATCTAGGGGAGCTGCAGCACTATCTCGGCATGGAGATTACCCGCGACCGTGCTGCTCGCACCATCTCCCTCTCCCAGGGCCACTACCTGCAGCAGGTCCTGGAGCGGTTCGACATGGCTCGAGGCACCCCTCAGGTCACCCCTCTTCTTGTTGGGCACCACCTCACTCCCCTCACCTCCCCCTCCTCCTCCTCCCACCCCTACGCTGAGCTCATCGGCTCTCTCATGTATGCCATGGTCTCCACCCGCCCTGACCTGGCATACCCCATCAGCGTTTTGGCCCGCTTCGTTGGTACCGGCAAGCATGATGCCGCCCATTGGCAAGCGGCAAAGCGTGTCCTCCACTACCTTCGGGGGACCAAGGACTACGTCCTTACCCTTGGCGGCCCCTCCCCTCCCCTCCTCACTGGCTACTCTGATTCCTCCTGGGCTGACTCTAGGCCTGACCGCCGCTCCTCTCAGAGCTATGGCTTCTCTCTTGGCAGTGGCCTCATCAGCTGTTGCTCCACCCGCTCCTCCTCCATTGCCCTCTCCTTCTGCGAAGCGGAGCTGTATGCCGCTACCATGGCTGCGAAGGAGGCCCGCTGGCTCTCTTTCCTTCTTGAGGAGCTTGGTGCCCCTCAGCGCTGTCCCACCATCTGGTGCGACAACGCCAGCACCATCCACCTCACGAAGGATGCCGTGTTCCACGGGCGCTCCAAGCACATTGAGCTTCGCCACTACTTAATTAGCGAGCTTGTGCAGGGTGGCCACCTCCAACTGGGCAAGATTGACTCTGCTGCCAATCTTGCCGACATCTTCACTAAAGCCCTCCCCCACGCCGCCCACTCATCCCTCCTTCGCCTTTTTGGACTCGCTCCCCCCGTTCCCTCGTCCACCTCCTGATTCAAGCCCTCTAGTCTCATGCATGTTGGGGGGTTGTATTGTAACATATATATCTATACAACGTGCATGCCTAGATTAGGAGGTGTAGTAATTATAATTATTGGGGGGTTGTTGGTTGGGTTGACCAACCCCACATTTGGGTTGGTCAAGATTGGATTTGGTCCTAGACATTTGGTTGGCACTATTCCAACCAAATGGTCCTTGGTCCTAGGAACCAACCAATCATCAAGCACCACACTTTGTGGTTGCTTGCCTTCCAAGCAATCTCTCTCATTGGTCCACATTGTGGCCAATCGGAGAGCACCACACTTTGTGGTTGCTTGCCCTACAAGCAACCTCTCCCATTGGTCCACTTTATGGCCAATAGGAGAGCTTCCCTTCCAACTCTTCCTTGCTCCTTGTTTTGTACAAAAGAGCCTATTGGCTCCCTACTCAATCAATCTTTTCTGTTCCAAGCTACTGTCTTCAGCATGCGTGTCCCACATGCAGCGAGTGCATGGCAGCATGTGTGTCGCACGTGCAGCGAGTGCATGGTAGCATGTGTGTCCCACATGCAGCGAGTGCATGGCAGCATGTGTGTCCCACATGCAGCGAGTGCATGGCAGCATGTGTGCCCCACATGCAGCGAGTGCATGGCAGCATGTGTGTCGCACATGCAGCGAGTGCATGGCAGAATGTGTGTCCCACATGCAGCGAGTGCGTGGCAGCACGTGTGTCCCACATGCAGCGAGTGCATGGCAGCATGTGTGTCCCACATGCAGCGAGTGCATGGCAGCATGTGTGTCCCACATGCAGCGAGTGCATGGCAGCATGTGTGTCCCACATGCAGCGAGTGCATGGCAGCATGTGTGTCCCACATGCAGCGAGTGCATGGCAGCATGTGTGTCCCACATGCAGCGAGTGCATGGCAGCATGTGTGTCCCACATGCAGCGAGTGCATGGCAGCATGTGTGTCGCACATGCAGCGAGTGCATGGCAGCATGTGTGTCCCACATGCAGCGAGTGCATGGCAGCATGTGTGCCCCACATGCAGCGAGTGCATGGCAGCATGTGTGCCCCACATGCAGCGAGTGCATGGCAGCATGTGTGTCCCACATGCAGGGAGTGCATGGCAACATGTGTGTCGCACATGCAGGGAGTGCATGGCAACATGCACATGATCCATCGCTGCAGCAGGTGAGCCGGATGTTGTGCTGCTTCCACCGCCTGCTGCCATGTGCATCCGTCCAGATGCGCATGCGCATGCACACGAGTGAGCACAGCCATACGTGCAGCAGGTGTGCGGGATGCCATGCCATCCTGACCGCCCCATGCCACGTGTGCCTTCTCTCCGCCCTCCATTCTGAAGCCACACTGCCACTCGCCTCCAGCGCAACCTGAAGCGCACATGGGCAGGGAATTGGGCATGGGTATGGGTATGGGTAGGGAACGGGCATGAGTATGGATATGGGAATGGGCATGGGTATGGGCATGGCATGGGTATTGGCACATGCATATTCATGAGAGATCTACATAAAAGACCATGTAGTGCACATCCGAATAAAGCGTTTTAACTGTACGCCCTGCGATGCTATGCTATGCCATGGTATGCGATGGGATGCAGTACCATGCCATGCCACGCCATGCCATGCCATGCCACGCCACGCCATGCCATGCCATGCCACGCCACGCCACGCCACGCCACGCCACGCCATGCCATGCCATGCCATGCCATGCCATGCCATGCAATAGCATGGTATGCGATGCGTGGATGCACCTCAGCAGACAGCAGCAGGCGCTGGAGGCGGCGCACACGCGGGGGAATGGCCGCCTCACGGCCATCCGCCCTTGCTGCGTCCCTTCCATTCGCCAGTCCACTCTCAGCCCCTGTTGCGCCATCCCCATCTCTCCCCCCCTCCGCCCATCTCAGCCGCATACCACATGAGCTGCACACGCCCTGTGCCATCCTCCTCTCCCCCGCCATGCGCTCTTCCGTAGCCGCCGAGCACGCGACTGCAGTGGGTTCAGCTGCCGCACCATCATTGCTTCCAGCGCACCGTGCCGTGGCCATGTCAGCGCCAGCAGCACCCTCACGGCCCACTGCTGCCACCCACCCACTCTGCTCTACCCAACGGAGCCCCCACTCCTTACCCGCCCCCTCTCTCCGCATCACCTCCCCACATTCCCCGCACTGCCGGTACTCCACTCTCTCTTCCTCTTCCTGCTCCGCCCGCTCCCTGCCCTCATCTCCACCCCACTCCCTCCTCTCACATCGCCGCTCTCCTCTCACCTCACTACGCCCCTCCCCACCACGCCCCTCCTCGCCACACAGAATCGCTTCAGCGGCACTTCTCCCGCCCCACAACCCGCCCTCTGCATCCCCTATGGACCGAAGCAGCCAGGTCGCTTCCTCAGGCAGGAAAGAGGGAGGCGGGGTGGGCAGAGGTGTCCCATCAGGGTCGTCCTTCGCCGGGCCTTCAAGCGCGCCCGGGCCGTCCCTCGGAGGGGGCTGCATGCTTCGTTGCACCCTGTGCTCGCCCACCTGCATGGGGTCAGATGCCTGGCCTCTGCACTCGCCTGCGTCCAACGCATTGCCATGTTGCATGCTCGGTTCGGCAGTGCACTGCGGTGCTGGCATGCGGTAGTCGTGTGTGGGGTGACATGGCTGGACGGCAGGCATGGCGCTGGCAGCACGAGGTGGAGGGCCAAGGGGCCCAGCGCACGTGCCATCCTCACTACCTCCTGCTGCCGCTGCGTTGCTCCCCACGCCCTCACCCTGCATCGTGCTTGCAAGTGTTACCGCAGGCACCGGTGGCGGCAGGGCCGCAGTGGGTGGGGGAGATGGCGATTGAGACACACCAGCACAGGCTGCACATGCTGCTGCACTGGTGCTGGCGGGAGGAGAGGTTGTGGTAGCAGCAGGGGTGGCGGCAGCAGCAGGGGCCATGGCAGGGAGGGAGGGCTGTGTGGGAGCGGTGGTTGCTTCCCAGGCAATGGTGGGTGCACGAGATGGACTGGTGGTGCCTACAGGGTTGCTGGTTGGAGGGATGCTGGTTAAAGGGAGCGTGATGGCCATTGATGGCGTGCTGGTTACCACAGCAGTGGTGGAGGCAGGAACCATGGTTACAGTGGTGGTGGTGACCGGAGCAGGGGGGGTGAGTGGTGGAGAGAGGGAGGAGAGGTGGTGGGCGAGGCTGGAAAGGAGAAGAGACTCCCGCACGCCGCGCGGGTACAGCAGGGCCGTGAGATGCACGAGGGACTGCAGGCGGGGCGAGCGAGAGAGGATGGGAAGGCAACGAGCTGTAGCTGTAGCTGAGTAGGCTCTAGCTCAAAAAGAGAAATGGTAAACAAGGGAGTCGGTCAGAAGGGTTTGGAGATGAATGTGAGAGACAGGGAAAAGTCAAGGAAATAGGGAGCGAATGAGAGGAGGCAAGGGGGTAAGGTATGTGATGTGAGGGATGGAGGGAATGAGCCGATGGAGACCACCAGAACAAGGGGTGCTGGAGCACCGCGTTATTCGCTACAAGCCTGCAAATTGACGCATTCTAAATTAGTCCGTTCTAATGCTTTCACACATACCTTGGCATCTCGAATAACACTCCACTGCCCCTCTGGTGACAGCACATACACCCCCATGTCTTCCTTCTCATCCTTGTTACCACCACCACCGGCAGCACCAGCAGCACCAGCAGCACCAGCAGCAGCAGCAGCAGCAGCAGCACCAGCACCAGCACCACCAGCAGCACCAGCGCTGGCAGCCCCAGCAGCAGCAGCAGCGGAAGCACAGGCACAATGTGTGTGCAGCACATGTCTTCCATGTCGCAGCGTCCTCGCGTCCCCTTCCCGCCCTGCCCCATCCCCTCCCCCAACCCCTCGCCCTAACATCCCAGCAGTGCCAGGCAAGCGGTGGACGCGCCAGTAGGAGTTGGAGCGGCGGTCCCACCCCATGGGGCCCTGCCGGATGCTGTAGCACGCCTCCGCGAACTCCACACCGCCGGGGCCGGGGGGGTGCGCTGACATGGCCACAGGAGCAGCAGCAACAGCAGCGGCAGCATCAGGTGCAGCAGCAGGTGCAGCAGGCGCAGCAGGCGCAGCAGGCGCAGCAGGCGCAGCAGGCGCAGCAGGCGCAGCAGGGGGTGTAGAAGCGGCGTTAGCAGGTAGGGGCTTGGGAGGAGGAAGAGGGTCAAGGGTGAGGCTGGGTGTCTTGCTGGTGGTGCCGACACATGCTGACCTGCCTGGGATACTGACAACAGACGGTTGTCCAGGTAGATGGTCCACTGCTGACGTGGCAACGGGTGCGGCGTCTGCGAGAGTGGTGTGGGGGCATGCGTCGAGGGTTGAAGGTGCCTCCACGGGTGCAGTGGCGTCTGTGATGCAGGCTGGAGTGCTTGGCGGACGAGCGGCAGCTGTGCAGACAGCTGAAGCAGCAGCCGTGGCATCAGGAATGGCGGTAGCAGTAGCACCATCGGCAGCAGCACATGGAGCGGCACCAGAGCGCAGAGCAGCAGCATGCTCACCTCTACCGTCCAGCACCACCTCCTCTCCTCCACCACGTGACGCGCTGCCTGCTCGCACCGATGCTTCCCCGGGCTCACCCTGCCTTGTGCTCCTCCCTTCCTCTCGCCTCACTTCCCGCTGTGCCTCCCTCCGCTCGTCCACGCCCACGCCTTCGCCCTGCCCCTCACTCCCTCCGCGCTCCTGCCCCCCACCTTGCCTGTCACGCCCACCTTGCCCATCCAGAATAAAAGGCTGTGGGAGACACTTGGTGCCGGCAAGCACACAAGAAGCAGCAACTGCAGGTGTGACTGCAGCTGTTGACCCAGCAGCAGCAGCGATGCTTGGCTGAAAAGCAGCAGCGATGCTTGGCTGAAAAGCAGCACCAGCAGCACGAGTAGCAGCAGCAGCAGGAGTAGGAGCAACAGTTGCAGCAGCAGCATCACCAGCAGTAGGAGCAGCGGGAGGAGCAACTGCAACGACGCTAGCAACCTCCGTGTCCATGCTCTGCTTCCCTGCCCCTGCCCCCTGCTTCTCCTCTGCCCGCTGCTTCTCCTCTGCCCGCTGCTTCTCCTCTGCCCGCTGCTTCTCCTCTGCCCGCTGCTCCTCCTCTGCTCCCTCCCTCTCCTCTGCCCGCTGCTTCTCCTCTGCCCCCTCCTTCTCCTCTGACCCCTCGTTGTCACGAGGCCCCACGATAGCCTGTGACCCCTCGTCCGCGTGCCTTTCCTGTTTCTCCTGTCTGTCGTGTGTCGCCCCTGTCTCCCGTCGCCCCGTTCTCTCCCGCTCTTCCTCTCGCTTTTCCTCTATCTCCCGTGGCCCTTCTGCTGCCTCTATCTCCCGTGGCCCTTCTGCTGCCTCTATCTCCCGTGGCCCTTCTGCTGCCTCTATCTCCCGTGGCCCTTCTGCTGCCTCTATCTCCCGTGGCCCTTCTGCTGCCTCTATCTCCCGTGGCCCTTCTGCTGCCTCTATCTCCCGTGGCCCTTCTGCTGCCTCTATCTCCCGTGGCCCTTCTGCTGCCTCTATCTCCCGTGGCCTCTTATTCTCCGCATTGTCCCCTTGTTCAACCCTGTCCGCCTTGCTGCACGTCCACTGCCCCCTGAGTTCTGACATGTCCTTCGTCCTCCCTTCCGCTGCCTGCTCCTCATAAATCCTACTCGCACATTCGCCAAGCGCCCTCCCTTCTTGCTTCACCGCCTCCGCCCTCGACTCCCTCGCCTGTGCGCCCTCGGCCTCCGCTCTTGCCACCTGCTCGTGCTCGTGCTCGTGCTCGTGCTCGTGCTCGTGCTCGTGCTCGTGCTCTTCCTCGTGCTCGTGTCTCCTCGTCCGCCGCCTCTCCTCTTCCACATTCCCTTCAAAATCCTCTTCCTCCTCCTTCCCCTGCGTTGTCCCCCTCTCCGCATCATCCCTCACATCCCTGCACTCCAGCGCCTCTTTTCTCTCACTCACGTCGTCGCTCTCCCTCCCACCTGCCGCCACTTTCCTCACGGCCAGCAGGGGCGGCAGCAGCAGCAGGGAGGGCGGTGAGAGCGACGGCTTCAGGTGGCCTGCGAGGCGCTCATCCACGGGTGGTGGTGCTGTGGGAGGCGGCTCACCACAGATACTGGCGCCGCCTGCTGCTGTGGGAGGCGGCTCACCACGGATACTGGCGCCACCTGCTGCTGCCGCCCCATGGACGGCAGTGGCAGCAGCAGCGCCCATGCCAGCGCCAGCAGCGACAGCAGCAGCGTCACCATCACGAGTAGCAGCCACACCAATATCAGCGGCTGCAGTGCAAACAGCAGCACAAGCACCATCAGCAGCAGCATTAGGGCCAGCACCAGGGCCAGTGGGGGCGCGCAGGGGCAGGTTGGCGGTGTTGAGGGCGGGGGGCCGCCAGGCGCCCTTCCTGCGGTGGAGCGACGCCTCGACCCACCGCTGGCGCCGGTACGACGACTGCACCTCGTAGCGGCACTGGGGGGGGAGGGGAGGACACAGAAGAGGGGTTTAGCAGGGACCTACGAGGGGAGGGGTTTCAGGTGGAGGCTGATGAGCCAGGCGCCCTTCCTGCGGTGCAGCGAAGCCTCCACCCACCGCGGCTGCCGGTGTGATGACTGCGCCTCGTAGCGGGGGACAGGGGTTGGTCAGCAGCCCAACGAAAAGAAGAGGGGTATGCACTTGGGATGACGAATCCAAGAAGCAACGCCAGGATTACCAAGGGGTGAGGACACATAGCAGGGTTGCACAGTGCGAATGGGTTTCCCAGTATCCTGGCACAGAAGGCAGCTGACCTCGATGGCGGCGCGGATGGTGGAGGAGTCGTTGACTGCGTTGACCAGGTCAACGAGCAGGGCAAGGCGCTCCTCCACACTCAGCTCGCTGTACTCCACGGCTCCCAGCGCTGCCATCCACGCGCTGCCCTGCTCACCCTCAGGGTCAGCCCCCCCCTCCCCCCCCTCGTCTTGCTCCTCCTCTCCATCCCCATCCTCGCCTGACTCCCACTCCCACTCACTGCCCTCATCCCCACCCTCCTCCTCCACGCCCTGCCTTTGACCCTCACCCTCAGCCTGCCTTTGTGGAGCCTCCAGCCCTCTACTGTCACCACCACACGGCTGCTCAATCTTCTCCTCGCCTCCGCAACCCCCGCCCCCCTCCCGCATTTCATTGCCCACCTTCACCTCGCCCTCCCCCGCCTCCTCCCGGACGCAGCCCACCATCACTGCTTCACTCCTCACCTCTGCACGCCCTTCCGCCCCCACGCTGCCACACGCATTGCCAGCCCCCAAAGCGCCACCATCCACCGCCTCGCCATGCAACTTGCTGCCACTCGCCATGCCATCAGCAGCCCCGTGGCCGCTCACAGCAGAACCGTGTGCCTCGTCCGCATGAGTGAGCATCGCATCCCTGACATGCCCAGCCTTTGCGCGCACAGCATTCCCCATCCCGCCCTCTGCCAACGCGCCATCCAGCGCTTCATCCTTCCCCCCGGCGTCACCACGCATGGCATCCGCGCCCATCATGCCATCCGCGCCCATCATGCCATCCAGCGTCGCAACACTGGGTGCGCCACCGCCCCCCCTCTGTTGCTGTGCTGCGCACTGCTCTCCTCCCTCGCCCCCTCCGCTGCGCTCACCGCCCGGCGCATCCACTTCCATCCGCCCGCCCTTCCCTTGCTCACTCTCCTCCCCTCCCCCGTCCATTTCATCATCATCCCCATCCTCACCTCCACTCCCTCCCCCAATCTCCATGTCCCCATCCCCCTGCCCCTCCCCCTCCTGCCCCGCGCCCTCGTCCCCACCCCCCACAGCCTCTCCCTCCTCCTCCCCATCCTCCTCCCCATCCTCCTCCCCCCCTCTCCGCCCCTCCGCCGCGCGCCTCACCTCCTCCACGGCCTCTCGCAGCCCCGCCTTGCGCGCCTGCGCCGTGCGCCGGTACGCGGCGCGCACGCAGTACGTGCAGCTCGCCACGCGCTGGAACAGCGGGTCCCTGGCCAGCGCGCCGGTGATGGTGGCCTCGGGGGTGCGGCTGCCCGACAGGTCCCTCAGGCGCGACTCTTGGATGCGCTGCGCGATGAGCGCCACGGGCAGCCCGGCCGCGCCCTCGTACGCCAGCACATGGAATGCCGCGTACTTCACCGTGCCGGGGGCCAGCCGCGCCACCAGCCGGGGTATTTGCTGCTGCTGGGCGGTGGGGCTGCTGTCCTTGCCTGGAGAGGGCTTTGGAGGCGAAAGGGCAGCGGCAGGGGAGGGAGGGACTTGGTGCGTATGGCTGCCAGCATGGCCGGGATGTGTGAGAGAGGGCGCAAGGCCAAGCCCTGGGCCGCCCTTGCTGTTGCCTCCAACTCCCCCTGCCCCTGCCCTTTCCTTTCCGCCCTGCTCCCCCTCGTCCTCATCGTCACTGAAGCGACCCCCTCCAGCTGCCAGGTACGCCAGGTACTGCTGCTGCAGCTGCGCTCGCTGCTGCTGCAGGCACGCTTGGTGCTCGCTCAGCGCCTGCTGTGCTGCCACGTCAGCTGCCTTGCCTGATGCCAGGTTGGCAACGAGTGCTTCGGTGTCAGCACCCTGTAACAACGTGGGATGGCACACATGCGCACAAGCGGATGGCACATGTGGGACAAACACAACACAGTGGGACAAACACAACACAGTGGGACAAACACAACACAGTGGGACAAACACAACGCAGTGGGACAAACACAACGCAGTGGGACAAACACAACACAGTGGGACAAACACAACACAGTGGGACAAACACAGTGGGCACGAAACTGCAGGCAGACGCACAAACCTGTTCTATGCTCGCCTTCTTTACTAGACTCTCCCACCTGCATGACCCCAGCATCAACATTCCTTACCCCATCGCCCCTAGCCATCAGAGGTCACCCCATTCCCCCCCCCCCCCCACCTCATCGGCAGCCCCATCAGCGCCTTCACCGCGCTGCACCCCGCCCGCCCCAGCAGCCGTGTCACACGCGCGGCCATGCAGTGCCCGTCTGCCGCGGCGCCTGGTGGGGCGCGAGGCGCGGCAGGGCGGGCCCCAGGCGGCAGCGAGGGCGTACTGGCGAAGCACCTCTGGCCACGTGAGGGGCGCCAGCAGCGGGCGCCACAGCGATGGCGTGAAGCCCCACTCGCGTGCCTGGGGGAACAGGTGGCGGTGGGGGGATATGGCATGGCAGTGAGGGGATATGGCATGGCGGTGAGGGGATATGGCATGGCAGTGAGGGGATATGGCATGGCAGTGAGGGGATATGGCATGGCAGTGAGGGGATATGGCATGGCAGTGAGGGGATGGCATGGCAGTGAGGGGATATGGCATGGCAGTGAGGGGATATGGCATGGCAGTGAGGGGATGGCATGGCAGTGAGGGGATATGGCATGGCAGTGACAATTGGCGTGTGAAAACAGAGGGGAGGACAGACTGCTCGCAGTTGAATTGGGGGGAGAATCGCAACAGTGTACGCACGCCGTTGGTTGCTGCCAAAACTACCACCGAACCCCTACAGTGCTACATGTAACAGTGTCACAGAGCCCCCCCTCACCTCAGCCACCACAGCAGCGGCCCTGTGCAGCACGAGCGCCCTGGCAGTGTCGGACCCCGCCACTGCTGCCGCCATCGCATCCGCCACACATGCTGCCACGCCTGCCATCCGTGCTGCTCCTCCCACCCCGCCATGCGCGCCCCCTGCCTCGTCTGCTGCTGCTGCTGCCATCGCCCCTGCTCCATCCGCACCCCCCTCTTCACCTGTACCTGCGCCTGTGGCTGCACGTGTGGCTGCGCCTGTAGTTGCGCGTGTGGCTGTGGCTACAGGCAGCCCTTCTTTCGGATGAGCCACGGCGTGCAAGTGGTCGGGATAAGAGTTGGCAGTAGGAATGTGGTTAGTGTTAGGGTGTAGCTTCGAGGTGGGGCTACCTGCAGCGTGGCTAATAGCATGGGGGCCGCCTGCATGGTTGCTGCTGGGTGCACGTGCAGGCGTTGTGCCATGCGCGCGTGGTGCTGCTGCTGCTTGAGATGCTACTGGTGCTGGTGGTGGTGGTGGTGGTGCAGAGGCCATGGCGGCCGCGGTGTCTTTGAGCAGCACGTGCAGGAGAGCTAGATGCACCTCTGTGATCAGGCGACACTCCTGCAGGGAGCAGGACATGCGAGGAATGTAGTGGGGAAAAAGCGTTGCAGGAGAGAGCACAGGGATGCGAGGGAGCACAGGGATGCGATGGAGCACAGGCTGGTGCAGCGAGTGGCACTTACAGGCTGGTGCAGCGAGTGGCACTTACAGGCTGGTGCAGTGAGTGGCACTTACAGGCTGGTGCAGCGAGTGGCACTTACAGGCTGGTGCAGTGAGTGGCACTTACAGGCTGGTGCAGCGAGTGGCACTTACAGGCTGGTGCAGCGAGTGGCACTTACAGGCTGGTGCAGCGAGTGGCACTTACAGGCTGGTGCAGCGAGTGGCACTTACAGGCTGGTGCAGCGAGTGGCACTCACAGGTTGGTGCAGCGAGTGGCACTCACAGGCTGGTGCAGCGAGTGGCACTCACAGGCTGGTGCAGCGAGTGGCACTCACAGGCTGGTGCAGCGAGTGGGCGAGGTGGCGCAGGGAGAAGGGCCAGAGGCACAAGGCGTCAGCGAAGGTGGTGAGGAAGGAGTGCACCTGGCGCGGGGAGAGGGGGGGGCGGAGTGGGGGGAGAGGGGGTGGCATCTGATGCCGGTCATACAATTTGCTCGGCGTGATTTGAAGCAGATACGGATTTGGGCAGAAATGCAGAGTGGGACGAGTTGCAGGCAGCATTGACGGCTCGATACGAGATGGAACATGAGGCGGTCAGCGGAGAGGCAGCATGGCGGCTGGTGGGTTGAGGCTTGAGGGGCCACGCACCATGAGGAGGTCGCTGACGGCTTGGGGGTTGTTGGACCAGGGAGGGAAGGGCAGCACTGGGTGCATGCGCACTGATGGCGGCGGGAAGAGTGGCAGGTGCTCTGAGGGGGAGAGGCGGGAGTGGGAGGGCCAACGCCAAGGGAGCGAATGAGTGTGAGGGAACGAGGGGGTTGAGAGATGGAACGAGAAATGGAAGCGACGTGAGGAGGAAGAGGGGACTAGGGGAGGTGGGAGAGCGGGTGCGGTTTCCCTTGTCAGGTGCACATGCAACTCACTCTTGAGCATATCACCATCCACGCCACGAGTCCCTCCTTTCACCACCTTCCCCCTGCCACCATCCTCCTCCTCCGCTTCCCCCCCTTCCTCCCTCTCCCCCTCCCACTCGCCCTCCTCCCACGCCACCCCCAGCGTCTGAGCCACCTCCCTGAGCTCAAAGGCCGCGTCGTCCACCAGCTGCAGCGCTGCCCGCGCCGCCTGCCTCTCCCGCGCCCTCTCCGCCTGCATGCGCTCCCTCTCGGCCTCCCGCACCCGCCGCTGCTCCTCGCGCCGCTGCCACTTGGCCAACTGAAAGGGGGGGAAGAGGGAGGTAGCACGCTTGTTGGTGAGCACAGACGAGCGCGGTCAGAGGATGGTTGCTGACTGAGACGCGAGCAATGGGGCGTGGACCGTGGTGGAAGGAGGGGAGGGGTGGAAGGGTTGGAATTGGAAGGAGGGGAGGGTTGGCAGCAGGCAGAAGACACGGGCGCGGGAGAGGCAGCTCACCCGAATGCTCTCCTTGATCTTCTCCCTCTCCTGCCGCTCCTCCTCTCGCTTCGCCTCCCGAACCTGCCTCTCCCTCTCCTTCTCCCTCTCCTTCGCCTCCCGCTCCTCCTCCCTCTGCCGCTCCCTCGCCTCCCTCGCCTCTTCCTTGTGCCGCTCCCGCACCTCCCTCTCCTCCTCCCTGCGCCTCCTCTCCTGCTCCCTGCGTGCCGCCTCCTGCCTCTGTTGCATGCCACCCCGCCACAACGCAACCAATACCAAACGATGTGAACGTTAGAATCAGAACATCGCTAGAAAGATACTGAGGAAGTGCCTGTCAGGTGCGTGTGACTTGCACGAAAGAAAGATGCATCCACGGGCCGAGCAGCCCAGCCCAGCTAAGCCCCTTCAGCCAGCATCACTCCGCCCCTCTATCCCGTGACCCGTTCACCACCCCAACGGGCACACAGGCCTCCAAAGCCCACCTTGCGCTCGGCCGTCTCCTCCCTCTCCGCCTCTCTCTTGAGCCGCTTCTCCTGCTGCTCCTGCTCTTTCCGCCGCCGCCCCTCCTCCACCTGCTGCCACGCCAGAGGGGCACCACAGCACGGAAGCAAAGAATAAGAGGCACGCGGGCAACGAGGCAGCATGCAATGAGCAGGACGAGGCAGGGTTCACAGTGGGGCAACAGCTTGCTGTGCTCGCTTACTGCACCATGCTGTGCTTGGAGCGGATGGCGGTGGGCTTTGAGCGCAGACACGATGCACGATGCATGTGGCAGGGGAGTGACGGCGAGGAAACACCAGGCGAGGTGGAGAGCAGGGCGCAAGCTATGCAGCGTTGGTGCCATGGATGGGCCTCACCTTCTTTCGCTTTGTGCCACTCTCCTTCGCCCCGTCCTGTGCCATGTCCCCTGCCTGCGCCCCATCCCCATCCCCATCCTCCTCCTCCTCCTCCTCATCTCCACCCGCCTTCTTCCCTGCTGCCCGCCCATCCTCGCTGCCAGCTGCCGTCCTTCGCCTCTCATTCAACACCTTCTCTTCCCTCCCTCTCTCCCCACATCTTCGTGACACCTCCTCTTGCGAAGCTTCCTCCTCCTCCTCTTCCTCCTCCTCCTCTTCCTCCTCATCCTCTTCATCCTCCTCCTCTTCCTCCTCTTGGTCCGCCTGTTCGATATCCCTCCGCTTCGCCCCTATCTCTCCGCCCCTTCTCCCACCCCACAACCCGTGGTCATCTCCGTCCTCCTCAGCCACGCCACTCACGCCACCGCCCGCCACATGTGCCTCAAGCATCCTCACACCGGAGTCTCGTCCATGCGCCTCGCCTCCCTTCTTCGCACCTCTCCTCCCACTCACTGTCTTGCTGCCCAACATGTCTCCAACTTTCTCCCCCCCATCCACTCCACCTCCTCCCCTCCGCCTCATCTCGCCCTTCTCGCCCGCTGCAGTGAACCCGGACGACCCAGAGGGCGCCGCGCGGAACAGCTGCAGCAAGTCCGCCCCCTCTGCCCCACTCGCGTCGTCCTCCTCCTGCTGCTGCTTCATCTGGCCCCCCCTGCCTGCTTGCCCTGCTGCCGTGTGCCCATGCTTCACACCACGCTGACCCGAAGCAGCAGCAGCAGCAACAGCAACAGCCTCTGCAGCGGCCTCTGCACGGTGCAGAACGCCATTGGCAGCGCCAGCATCTGCTGTGGCTGCACCAGCGTGCAGCACCCTGCTGCCATTGGCAGCACCAGCATCTGCTGTGGCTGCACCAGCGTGCAGCACCCTGCTGCCATTGGCAGCACCAGCATCTGCTGTGGCTGCACCAGCGTGCAGCACCCTGCTGCCATTGTCAGCACCAGCAGCGCACAGCGCGTGCAGGGCCTCCGCGGCTTGCAGGGGCGAGTGGTGCGCTTGAGGGCGGGGCGCAGGGAGAGCGGAACTCTGGGAGGGAGGGGCGGAGAGGGCGGGCAGAGGAGGCCCCAGCAAGTCATGCGGCTGCAGGGTTATGGCGGGAAAAGAGAGGCGCAGCACACGGGGGGGGGATATGAGGCCTGTGCTTGCTCTTGACCGGCCGTTGCCTGGGGGATGAAGGGGAGGGTGCAGGGGGCGGAGAGAGGAGAGTGCGAGAAACATAGGGGGCGGAGAGAGGAGAGTGCGAGAAACATAGGGGGCGGAGAGAGGAGAGTGCGAGAAACATAGGGGGCGGATGCGAGACGGAACAGGACAGGGAGCATGGGAAGTGGGAAGGGAGAGAAGGAGAATACACGCAGTCAGCATCCGATAGACAAAAGCGAGGGTAGAGGCAAGAAAACGATATGAGAAGCATGGCGCACCGTATGTGGGTCGTGCTGTTGCTCCTCTCCACCGCACCCCACCCCCCCCTCCAGCTCGCCCAGCCCCTGCTGCGCCTGGGACATGCCGGGCCCCACCCTGGCCTTGCGCACTGCCCACAGGCAAGAGGGGGAGCAGTGGCACATTGCCACAACACCATACAAGAGGTGGCACGGACGAATCAACATCTAAAACCATGCATGGTCAAACGCTGCAAGAAGGGTGGCTCACTGCCTGCTGCAACGAGAATGAGATGCCAGTGGCTGGCGGGACGAACGGCAGCCCACAACTCCAAGCGCACGTGTGGATGAGTCGTAGTGGTGATACTTGTGAGGAACAGGCAAAATTTGGATAAACATGTGCCTTGATTTATGCAGACATGTAAGGGGTGAATGAAAGGGAAAAAGGGCGGAGGTTAAAGAGACAGGGACGAGGCACGCATCATCATGAACGACTGGCACGCATCATCATGAGCGACTGGCACCCATCATCATGAGCGACTGGCAAGCGACTGGCAAGCATCATCATGAGCGACTGGCACGCATCATCATGAGCGACTGGCACCCATCATCATGAGCGACTGGCACGCATCATCATGAGCGACTGGCACCCATCATCATGAGCGACTGGCAAGCATCATCATGAGCGACTGGCACGCATCATCATGAGCGACTCGCACACATCATCATGAGCGACTGGCAAGCATCATCATGAGCGACTGGCACGCATCATCATGAGCGACTGGCACGCATCATCATGAGCGACTCGCACGCATCATCATGAGCGACTGGCACGCATCATCATGAGCGACTGGCACGCATCATCATGAGCGACTGGCACGCATCATCATGAGCGACTGGCACGCATCATCATGAGCGACTGGCACGCATCATCATGAGCGACTGGCACGCATCATCATGAGCGACTCGCACGCATCATCATGAGCGACTGGCACGCATCATCATGAGCGACTGGCACGCATCATCATGAGCGACTGGCACGCATCATCATGAGCGACTGGCACGCATCATCATGAGCGACTGGCACGCATCATCATGAGCGACTGGCACGCATCATCATGAGCGACTGGCACGCATCATCATGAGCGACTGGCACGCATCATCATGAGCGACTGGCACGCATCATCATGAGCGACTGGCACGCATCATCATGAGCGACTGGCACGCATCATCATGAGCGACTGGCACGCATCATCATGAGCGACTCGCACGCATCATCATGAGCGACTGGCACGCATCGTCATGAGCGATTGGCACCCATCATCATGAGCGACTGGCACGCATCGTCATGAGCGACTGGCACGAGCATGGCGTGAAACAGCTGCAGCAGACGCGAGGCGGGCAGCAGCATACCGACGACGAGGTTGAAGCCGAGTGCGGGCAGCGGGTCGAACACGGCGCCCAGTGCCGGCCCATCCGCCCTGTACTCGCCGCCCATGGCCCTCCTCACGCGCTCCACCACCCCCTCCTCCTCCTCCCCTCCTGCCGCCCAATCCGCACTCGCATCCTGCCTCGCCCAGCTACTCTGCTGAGTCTGCCATGCTGCTGATCTGGCAACTGCTGATTGGCCGTTTCCTCTGGACTCTACAGCACCGCCTCCCAGCCGTTCACCCGATGCCTGTGCGGTGCGGTCCAGGCCGTTGGACCCCGCACCTTGTGCATGTTCGCTGCCTTGGGCAGGGAGACGGAGTGTGCTGCGAGCAGAGGCCAGCGCAGCAGCGGCAACAGGAGCACCACATCCGTTGCCTGATGCTGCAGCAGCAGCAGCAGCAGCAGCGCCAAGTGCGCCAGCACTGGGCCTGCCAGCACCAGCAGCGGCGGTCCTAGAGTGCCCAGCGCCATCCGTGGCGGCCCTGCTCTCCTGCTCCTCCAGCACCTCGTCCGCCATCAGCCCCGACGCCATTACCCGCAGCGCGCCGTCCCTCGCCGCCCGGCCCATGCCCACCACCGACAGCTTCCCCATGCCGCCCGCGTGCGACCACACGTACCCGTCCCTCGCCTTCCCCGCACCGCTCGTGCCCCCCGTATCGCCCGCACCAGCGGAGCCAGGCGGGGGGGGTGCGGTGCTGCCAGCATGCGGAGCACAGGACGCGGCTGCAGCAGGCGCGGGGGTGAGGGGGCGCCCAAAGAGGACGGTGGGCGGACCACCGTTTCCCGGCGGGTTCTTGGCAGGGCGCACGGGGATTCGGAACAAGCTAGCGCGGCCAAGCGGGGCTGGGGCTGCGTCGCTGCTGGCTGGCCCGCGTGCCTGCTGGGCGATGGCGATCCGCCGCCCCACAGGCTGCTCTGAGCACGGCGCTCGCTCGCTCGCCTTGAAATCAACATCGCCGCCTGGCCTGGGCGCCACCAATGGTTCCGTCGTTTCGGATCCCGCAGCGGCGGCGGCGGCGGCGGCGGCGGAAATGGAGAAGGGGCTGGCGAGAGCGAGCGGTGCGTGGGGCAGCAGGGGGGAGTTGCGCGGGAAGGCGGTGGCAGGGGCCTTGGGCGCGGCGGAGAGCGCGTGGTGGAGGATGCGGTCCTTGCGGCGGCGGTGCGAGAACCACATCTGCAGCTGGCGGTCCGTCAGCTGCAGCTCCGCGCACAGCGACGCGCGCAGGTCGTCCGACGGGTACTTGTGCACTGGGAGAAGGGGGGGCGATCGGGGGAGACGCGACGAGGGAGAGAGACGAGAAAGGCAGGTGGGTTTCTATCGTACCAGAGAACTGCGAATCTCCAATGCATGACGGCACGATGGACGATTCCGTAGGCGCGTCCGCGAGGCCTAGCAGAAGTTGTCGAAACGCCAAAACGGTTGAGCCAGCTAAATAAATATCCACTTCTGATTAAAGCAGCCGAGCATTGGAGTGGAAGCAAAAGCTTAGACAGTAACCGAGACAGAGCAGCGAGGCGGGAGCATCACCCGCGAAGACCTCCTCCAGGCGCTCCAGCTGCAGCGGCGTCTTGCGGATCTTCCGCTGCTTCGCCGACCCCGACGCCTGGCCACTTGAATCGTCGTCCATCGCCGCTAGCTGATTCGAATCGCGACGCGTCGATGGAACCGGCGCTCGATTGCCAAGCGTCAAAAGCGGGGCCTGCGTCGACAACCATGCAGGAAGTGGCGTTCTCGCGTTCGTGATTAATCTCGTCAACCACCCTTACTTAAACAACTTTAATCTAAAACTCGCTCGTTTAACCTTAAAAGTGCGTAGGCGCGAAAAATCGCAACTCCATTGCTGGAAGTTGCGAAACCCTCGGCTTGAAAACAGAGCTTTGAGCATTTCGATCAACAGAAGTGGCTGGATGAGACTGAAAGCAGCGAGGGTTCTCTCTGCTCGCCACCGATTGCAATGAACCGCGAGGAGGTGCTGGTGGGATATGCACGGCTGGTCGGGCTTGGCTCTCGCCATCTCATCCTCACTTTTGCAAGCAACGGTTGCTGTTCATTCATGGCTTGCTTGTAAACGCATCGTGGCCTCTGATTCAAATCAGGGATAACCTCGGCCGCCGATCTGCGAAATGCCTGTCGAGCCTACTCGGGTGTCACTCAGGGCCTAACCCCAACGCACGCAGACGATATCGCTCGTGAGTGGTAACCAGTCACCAGGGCTGGCGACAATAGCTCGTGACCTCAGGGTTTCCATCACCATGCGAGGATGTGTTGCATGCTCGGCTTCCGTGTCATTGAGGTGGCTGGAATGCAAACCTGATACGAAGTACGATTCAAAATCGTACGGGCCTCTGGGCTGATTTCTAGGAATTTGGCATTCTCCCAGGAAGTTCTGGCCACAGTGTGACGGTTGACACGAGCTACGGTTCCCCATAGTGGACCCAAATCTGCGGCTAAAACCTGCTAAGAAGTCGCTCGGGAGGCGCGCTTAGCTTCAACGACCCATCATGGCGCTTGTCTGCTCGAGAGTGCTTCTCTCGTCCAAGCCGCGTCGCCTCGTCGCATCCCTCCCCGCACTCCCCGCACCATCCGCCGCTAATCCCGCGAGGGTGGACGATGAAGCGAAATCACAGCCATTCTGTATGCGAGGCGCGGGTGAGCGCTCCCCCGCAGCCGCGCAACCCGCTGTGAGGCCCAGCGCGGTTGAACCAGCCGTTCCAGCGCACACCCCCGAGGGCCGCTTGATTGGGGGCACTGGATTCGGTCGGCGCACGCCCCTTAGGGTCGCGCGGTGGCGGACATGGCGCAGAGGGGAGGCGGGGGCTGCAGGGGCTGCGGAGGCGATGTGTTGTGGCGGACGGTGGGGTGCGGTGGGATATGGCATGGTGGCGTATGGTGGGGCTACGCCGCATGTGATGTGGGGGCGACCATCATGCCACATGCTGTCCCTGTCTGCTGCACGCTTTGCGCCTTACGGCATCGTGCCTGCTGTTGTGGGTGGTGGTGGTAGTAGCACTGCTGGCAGCAGCAGCAGCAGCAATGGCGGCGATAGCGAGACAGAGGTGTCCAATCTCCAGCTGCGAAGCCAGCAGGTGAATTGTTTTAGTCATGGCATGGCATGGGATGGGATGGGATGGCATGGGATGGCATGGCATGGGATGGCATGGCATGGGATGGGATGGCATGGCATGGGATGGCATGCAAGGTGCAAAAAAACGGCATCCGTATGAAACGGTCCGTTTTAAAAGGCCGTTTTTTACGATGGGTTTTGGTAAAAAACGGCGTTTTTTTGTTAGACCTTTTTTCATGTTTTTTTTTTTTTTTTTTATAATGAAAAGCACACGTAAACAAGAGGCCTGATCCCTAAGGCGGCCTGCATCGTTCTACGGGGTAATTAGCGGCTTTGAAACAGGCATGTGATGTCCATGCCCCTAGTCCGTCGCCTTCTAGGCCTCATTCTGCTCCTACTCCACCATCCCCCCCGTCCTCCTCCTAAGCGTCATCCATCTAGTCCTCCCCCCCCTAAGCGTTATTAGCTCGGCCAAAAACAATGTACACCGCATTATACGTGGCACGAAAAAAACGGTCGTATAAAACGGCCGTTTTTTTGCACCAAATGCAAAATGCAACTTTAAACCGTTTTAATCGTATTATACGACCGTTTTTTACGATCCCGTTTTTGGCCAAAAAAGGCCGTTTTTTTGCACCTTGGCATGTGATGGCATGGGATGGCATGGCATGGCATGGGATGGCATGGGATGGCATGGCATGGCATGGCATGGCATGGGATGGCATGGGATGGGATGGCATGGGATGGCATGGCATGGCATGGCATGGCATGGCATGGCATGGGATGGCATGGCATGGCATGGCATGGCATGGGATGGCATGGCATGGCATGGCATGGCATGGCATGGGATGGCATGGCATGGCATGGCATGGCATGGGATGGCATGGCATGGCATGGCATGGGATGGCATGGGATGGCATGGCATGGCATGGGATGGCATGGCATGGCATGGCATGGCATGGCATGGGATGGCATGGCATGGCATGGGATAGCATGGGATGGGATGGCATGGGATGGGATGGCATGGGATGGCATGGCATGGCATGGGATGGCATGGCATGGCATGGCATGGGATGGCATGGCATGGCATGGCATGGGATGGCATGGCATGGCATGGCATGGGATGGCATGGGATGGCATGGGATGGCATGGCATGGCATGGCATGGCATGGGATGGCATGGCATGGCATGGGATGGCATGGCATGGGATGGGATGGCATGGGACGGGATGGCATGGGATGAGATGGCATGTCATGTGATGGCTTGGCGTGGCGTGGCATGAGACATTGTGATGGTACAGCCAGTGTTGAGCGCGCAACCAGGGAGTGAGGATGTGAGTGATGTGCCCCAGGCCTTGCGACGCCCGTCACGGTGCGGGCTCTCAAAGCTGCGTCGCATCATGCCGTTGCTGCTGCCTCCGTGTGCTCGCTTTTTGGGGGGGGGCGATGGGATGGAGGTGGGGGAGCCAAGTGGGGTGTGCTTGCGATGCGAGTGGGGGTTGTAGAGCAGGGAGACGAAGGATGGGGAGGCAGCAAGGCACGGCAGTGTTGCAAGCCATGGTGCTGGCGAGGAGAGATTGCAAGCGGAGAAGGAGGAGGAGGAGGCGGAGAAGGAGCGGGCATGGATGCGGGAGGCAGTGGGGGAGGCACGGAGGGCAGCAGCAGAGGGGGAGGTGCCAGTGGGGGCAGTCATGGTGCTGGGTGATGACGTCATAGTTGCCCGCGCTCACAACCTGTAAGCCCTGAATGCTCTACCCTCACATGTCTGCCCTCACATGTCTGCCCTTGCTGTTCACGCGTGGTGTGTTGGTCACTTGGGCTACATGTGCAATGCGTGGATGTGGCCGTGGCGTGCCCATCGAGCCAAGGCATCATTGCAGCGCGTCTCATGCCCACTTGAGCCTCTTCAACCCTCTCCTTGCCTTTCCTCATCATCTCGCGTTGAGCCATTTTAAGGCAGTGCTTGCAATCCTGGCCACCTTTCTCTCACGTTCCGGTTGAGCCTTTTCCGCTTGTCTCCTCTCGCAAATGCATTCCGTCCCCCCTCTTCTCCGTCCCAATCCCACGTCATCAAGCACAGCAGCATGGCCAATGGCGATCCCACAGCCCCCGCGTTGATCGTGCTGCTGATCCAAGCGCGTCCCGCGCTCTCACCGCATCCCCTACCCCTGCACCCCTTGCTTGCCACTGCACCTCATGGAGCGCAGCAGCGAGGCCAGCAACGACCCCACGGCCCATGCGGAGATGCTCTGCATCCGAGCTGCGTGCTCCCACCTCGCCCACTGGCGCCGCCTGCAGGCAAGTCCCCTAGAGCACCCTTTCTGCTCGCAGGCAAGTCCCCTAGAGCACCCTTTCTGCTCGCAGGCAAGTCCCCTAGAGCACCCTTTCTGCTCGCAGGCAAGTCCCCTAGAGCACCCTTTCTGCTCGCAGGCAAGTCCCCTAGAGCACCCTTTCTGCTCGCAGGCAAGTCCCCTAGAGCACCCTTTCTGCTCGCAGGCAAGTCCCCTAGAGCACCCTTTCTGCTCGCAGGCAAGTCCCCTAGAGCACCCTTTCTGCTCGCAGGCAAGTCCCCTAGAGCACCCTTTCTGCTCGCAGGCAAGTCCCCTAGAGCACCCTTTCTGCTCGCCGGCAAGTCCCCTAGAGCACCCTTTCTGCTCGCAGGCAAGTCCCCTAGAGCACCCTTTCTGCTCGCAGGCAAGTCCCCTAGAGCACCCTTTCTGCTCGCAGGCAAGTCCCCTAGAGCACCCTTTCTGCTCGCAGGCAAGTCCCCTAGAGCACCCTTTCTGCTCGCAGGCAAGTCCCCTAGAGCACCCTTTCTGCTCGCAGGCAAGTCCCCTAGAGCACCCTTTCTGCTCGCCGGCAAGTCCCCTAGAGCACCCTTTCTGCTCGCAGGCAAGTCCCCTAGAGCACCCTTTCTGCTCGCAGGCAAGTCCCCTAGAGCACCCTTTCTGCTCGCAGGCAAGTCCCCTAGAGCACCCTTTCTGCTCGCAGGCAAGTCCCCTAGAGCACCCTTTCTGCTCGCAGGCAAGTCCCCTAGAGCACCCTTTCTGCTCGCAGGCAAGTCCCCTAGAGCACCCTTTCTGCTCGCAGGCAAGTCCCCTAGGGCACCCTTTCTGCTCGCCAGCAAGTTTGAAGAGTAGCATCATGTTGTGGTGCGAGTGACAGTAGCCCGTGTTGGGATCCTGAGCAGCCGTGCTGCTCGCTCTGGTCCCTCCCTCATCCTTCCTCCCTTCCTCCCACTCTCGCCCCTGCCTGCATGTGTGCTTCCCTCCAACCCCTCCATCCGCGCCCCACTCTTTCTCGCCAGCACTGCACCCAGCCATGCCTGTGCATTGCGCTACAGCGCTGCTCCATGTGCGCCTCCCATGCCCCTCCTTCTCCATCCGCCATCCCTTTTCCTCCCCTCTTTGCCGTGCGTCATTGCTTATGTATGGTTTTGGGACAGCCCGGATGGTTTGGGCAGCCCTCCAAATTTGCCCTGGAAAATTAGGGTCAAAAGTAGCGCCTTCCTGGGCTGGCTAAATTTTCACTCTGCTGGCGATGTAACCTGGCCTTGACAGACACGGGCCTGATGCGCTACGAATCTACTGAAGAGCCTGAGTTGTTAAACACAGGGGACGTATTGGAGACAGACACTCAAGGCAAGGAGGAGGAGACGGGTGCTAGAGAAATGCAGCACTGCTTTATTATGTTGGCAGGCATACTTGTGGCTGCTAAGCATTTATTCGGACAGCTAAAACCTCTGTTGAATGCTTTCGCTAAGCAGTAGCGTGGATCCAAGGTGAGCAAGCCAGCCACAGAGCTCCATGCAAGCTCAGACGATGCCAACGGACCGTCACATTCGGTATACGTTCTAATCTGCAATTGGGGTCAAGTTTTCTACATGTAGGGGAGCGGAAATCTTGGTGAGCGAGGAAATAGGGGAGGACGGAAGGGGAAAGGCGGGAGAGCAGGGAAGAGGGGGAGGGGAGGTTTGGCGGGCTCCGGGTACCCCCTGAAACTGCTCGGATACATCAGGGTTCGGGAGAAAGGCGCTTGTTGGTTTCAGGGTCCTGAAAAAATCCCCCCTGAAACTGATATTTTCAGTGTCGTCATCAAAGCTATCCTATAATTTCAGTCAAATCAGGGCAAATGCCCCGACAACAAAAGCTGAGATTCCCAGCCCGTTGCACTCTAAGGGTGTGTAAAGTTGAAACGGAGGCTCCGCTCCGCTCCCTAACTCCGTTTTTTCTGCCCGTCTGTAACTGTAGGCCAATCGGATGCACGAAACCTGCGTGTAAAAAAGTGTGGATTCACACCAAAACAAATTCCCACCCAAGCTTCAAGCACGTTTGAAAACATTTGACTGTTCTTTGTGCACGTACCAGAACAACTCAGCACGAAAAATGCAAACGCATTTCGCCAATTCCAACGACGCTGCGAACTGGGCAACTCGGCCAGCACGAAATGCATGTGCCTCGCAACTCGCCAGAGCACCGATGTTGTTTCTCGCGCAGGCGAAGTTTGTGAGACGTTGCCCTCGCTAGTTACAATCTCGAAACTCAAAATTGGAAATTTTAGGTGCATGGGTTTCGTCCAGGCGGTGTAGTCTCCAAACTTTTGTTGCTTCGAGAAGCAAACTGACCGGGCAGAAAGAACGGAGTTTGGGAGCGGAGCGGAGCCTCCGTTCCAACTTTACACACCCCCTAACCACCCCTCCCCCGCCTCTCCCCGCCATTCCTGCAGGAGTGCACGCTGTACGTGACGCTGGAGCCGTGCCCAATGTGTGCGGGCGCCATCCTGCAGGCGAGGGTTGGCCGCCTTGTGTGGGGCGCGCCCAACCCGCTGCTGGGGGCCGATGGTAGCTGGGTCAGGTGAGATGGCAGCTGGGTCAGGTGAGATGGCAGGTAGGTCAAGTGAGATGGCAGGTGGGTCAGGTGAGATGGCAGGTGGGTCAGGTGAGATGGCATGCAGGGCGGAGTGGTGGGATGGGGGGAACAAGGGAGGAGGGGCTGGTGGGATGAGCTGGGAGGTGGAATTAGTCAAGGCAAGAGTGGGCGGGCTCGTGTTGCGCGGCTTCTGCGGGGTGCGTCCAACGATAATCTGGTGCCAGTGGGTTTACAGGGGGGGGGGGGAATTCGGAGCATAGGTCTCTATTAGGTGCGACCAAGTGTGGGGTGAGGTTGATAAGCAGCCTCGTTCCCTTCCTTTCAACCCCCCTCCACTGTTGGTACCGCCTCACAGGCTGCTCCCTGTACACGCTTTTGCACGGCGCTCCTCCTTCCAACCTGCAACCGCCTCTCTCGTCCTCCCTTCCTCCCCTCCTCCAATGGTACCCATTCCTCCCACCCCGTGCTGCTCCCCTGACAGCCTTTTCCCCACACGCTCTACCGCGCGCCGCTCCTCCTCACAGCCCGTGCAGCCCGGAGGCCATTCCAGGGGGGGCAGGTCAGGCCGGCGCCGGCGCAGAGGGACGAGGTGGAGGCGAGGCGACGAGGAGCAGGGCGGTGAGGAGGGGAGTGCATTGGGTGCATTGGCGGAGAGTGCGGAAGGGATAGTGGAAGAGCCTGGGGAGGAAGGGGGTCCATACGTTATTCAGGAGAGAAAGGATGGGATGACGAGGATCGAGGTGGTAATGAAGAGCAACGACAGGGCAGGGGGATGGGAGAGGGCACAAGGAGAGGAGTGTGTGGGAAGCAAAGGTGTGGAACGGGGCAATGACAGTGCGGACGATGGAAGTGGGGATGAGAAGAGTACGGGGTGTGTGTGTGTGGAGCATGGGAGGTGGGAAGAAGCAGGGGGGAACGAGCTGGTCATGGAGGAGGAGGCGAGGGTGTGCGATGACGCGAGTGTGGGCGAGGGAGGGCGCGTGCACCCATTCCACCCCGATGTGCGGGTGACAAGCGGGGTGCTGCAGGAGGAGTGTGCGCAGGTGATGAGAGCGTTCTTCAGGGAGAGGCGCAGGCAGCAGGCAGACGCCAGGAGACAACACAAGGAAAGAGAAGGGGCTGCCGGAATCTCTAGTGGTTTAGAACTGCTACCGTAATCCCACCAAAATTGAGCACCCAAAGGGTGTTCAATTCGAGGGGGTGTTATCCCACCCCCCACCGAGGGGGTGTTTCGAGGGGGTATTTCAAACCGATTTTTGAAATTTACATGACACTCTCTAAACTGAATGAATTGATGACTAGAGAGAGAGTACAGGTGAATATACCTAAGTGTTGTACCCTCTAAGAGGTGGCCCTATACAGTCTATGAAAACATAGGAGATACACATGTTTGACACACCCCCTAGACTGCACAGGGGCAGGTCCTGAACAAGCAGCTCAGGGCGGCACTACTAGTCCAGCCACTGAGACAAGGGTCTAAAAGACCGGTCAAACGGAGTACAGACAAGGCAAGAACAAGACCAGGGCGGCACTACTAGTCCAACCACTGGGAGAGGACACAAGTCCAGTCTGAGTACACATATAAAGGACAGTACAAAGTCAAGGCCCTAGCAAGTGAGAGGCTACAGGAACTAGACCAAGCTGTACACAGTGCCGCTGATGATCTTTAGGCGCAAGCGCCTTCGTAAAGATATCAGCCGTGTTGGCACCTGAGGCCAAGTGTACTATGCGAGCCTGGCGTCGCTGCTGTAGCTCGCGCATGAGGAAGTACCGCAGCTGAATATGCTTCGCTCTGCCCTCGAGTCGAGGCTCCTGACACAGGAGGATCATGGCCCTGTAGTCAGCGAACAGGACCGGGGCAGAGCTAGGCCGCTCACCTAAGTCAGTGATCAAGAAGGTCAGCCAGCGGAGCTCCTGTGCCGCCATGGCACCAGCGTAGATCTCGGCCTCACAGCTGGACTGGGCAACAGACGAGGAGCGGGTAGCTCTCCACGAGACGGCACCTGAGCCAAGGCTGAAGCAGTAGCCCTGGGAAGACCTGAGTGTCTCGGCGTCGTCTGCCCAAGAAGCGTCTGTGTGTCCAGTAAGGACCACTGGCCTACGTCCTCCTAGCACCAACCCCATGCCTGATGTACTAGCAAGATAACGCAAAACCCTCTTAGCGGCAGACCAGTGCTGCAGTCGGTGTCTGCCTGTGGCCACAAAGCGAGCCAGGATGCTGAGAGGGTATGCGAGATCTGGGCGAGTGCAAGTCATCAGGTACATGAGGCAACCCACCAGCTCTGCGTAGGGGCCACTGGGCTCTACCGACTCCTCAGAAACTAGAGCAGAGAGTCTGTGGTCTACAGGCAGAGGGGTGGGCTGTGCAGAGGAGAACAGAAGGCCGAACCTTTGAAGGACCTGGCGCACCAAGTGTGACTGAGTGAGGGTGATGGTGCGCGCTGCTCTGTCCGTGGAGATCTGCAAGCCAAGGTAACGACGCAGTTCTCCAAGGTCAGTGCACGTGTGTCTCTTCAGCAGCTCTGCCTTCACTGAGGCCAGTGCGTCCCTGTCTGCTGTGGCAAAGACCAGGTCGTTGACGTAAACAAGGATGTAGAACGGAGTCTGGCCAGCACGAACGAAGAGTGAGGGGTCTGCGGAAGCCGGAAAGAACTGCAGGTCAGCAATGGTAGCACGCAGCGTGTCGTGCCACTCACGGGGAGCCTGCCGCAGGCCGTAGACAAGGCGCCGCAGGAGCCACTGGGTCCCAGGAGGGAAGGTGCCAGTAAAGCCCTGAGGGCGACGCAAGTAGACCTGCTCGTGTAGGCTGCCCTGAAGGAAGGCAGTGGAGAAGTCGAGGGAGTGAAGCTCGTAGTCACGCTGAGTAGCTAGGTGTAACAGAACCCGAAGAGTAGTCATCTTCGGGGTCGGAGCGAAGGTCTGGAAGAAGTCCACCCCCTCACGCTGACTGAAGCCTCTAGCCACGTAGCGCGCCTTGAACACAGGCGGCTCTCCAGGAGGGCGCTTCACCTTGAAGAGCCAGCGGCCATCGACTACGTTCACCCCAGGCGGGGGAGCTGCGTCGACGAAGGTGCCGGTGGATCTCCAAGACGCCATCTCCTGCTCCATGGCAGCTATCCACTGCGAGGCCCAAGGTCCCGAGGTCGCCTCAGCGTAAGTGCGAGGGGTCGGGATGTCGAAAGCGTCTGGGTCACCCTCAGGGACTAGCAGCATGGAACAGAGATGGGGAGCAGCCTCGGACAGGAAAGCAAGCTCAAACTGGCGGTCCTCCAGGACGTCAGTGCCGAGGGCAGGAGCACCCCCGACAGACGGAGGACAGGCAGGGTCAGAGACCAGAGCGGTGGTGTAGTCAAGGCGGCGGGTAGAGGTGAAGTCAGCGACCGCAGCTACAAGAGCGTCAAGACACGAGACCGGAACAGACGGGTCGGTAACGAGAGAGGCAAGGACCCGATGAACAAGAGGACGAGCGGCACGAAGGTAGTCAGACAGAGGGGGGGGTGCAACAACAAGGGAGGACGGAGGAGGCGATGGGAGAAGGGGAGGACGAAACGCGTGGGAACGAAGCAACATAGGGTGGGAGCGCAAGACACGGGAGACAGGATGAGCACGGGAGGGACGGCGAGACCACACATGAGACGGAGAAGTCGGGTCAGGAGACAGAGGAGGGGACACAAGGGGGGAACGAGGGGGAAGACGAGCCGGGGACGAGTTCGGCGGAGCGAACACAGGGCCGTAGACGGGAAGAGGAAGAGACGGCCAGAGAGGAACAGACGCAGGGTCAGGGGACGGAAGGCCGAGCAGGCGAAGGGCTGACACCGGCGGGGACTGCTGCTGCGGCAGCACAACTCCGACACCGGGACCGCAAACTGTTCCTCGGTTACCACCGGCACACTCTACGCCAGCACCCCCAGAGGGAACACCCCCAGGGCCCGAAACCCCTCGAGGACCGGTACCACTCCCAGGGCTACCGGGAGTAGCACGCACTCCAACGCTAGCACCCCTAGAGTCAACGAACGGGTGCTGCGATGGCGGCGGCGGCAGCAGCGACAACGACGGCTGCGGCGGCGGCGGCGGAGGTGACAACGGCTGCGACAGCAGAGGCGACGGCGGCGGCAGAGGTGGTGGAGGAGGGGATGCCTGGGGAGGGGCAGCCGGCAAGGATTGCGCCGCAGGACCACCAAAGTCAGAAGACTCCTCAACCGGGACCACCGACGGAAGAGGGGTGACGTGGGACACACCAGAGGGGGCAAGACGGGAAGGAGGAGGGGGGGGGGTAGGGACTACCGGGGAAGGAGTGACCAGGAACAGGGGGGGGGTAACCGGGGGACCACGGTGGGGGAAGCGACGGTAGAAGGAGACGGACTCGTCAAAGGTGACGTCGCGAGAGTGAAAGAAGCGGTGAGACGGCAGGTAGTAGAAGTGCCAGTCGGACGCGTCAAGGGGAAAACCGAGGAAGACGCAGGGAAGGGTGCGGGCAGTGAGCTTGTCCGTGCCGGAGGCACTAACGTGAGCAAGGCAGCCCCAGACGTGGAACGCAGACGCATCACCAGGAGACCCAGTCCAAAGACGGGTCGGCGAAACCTGCGGCTGCTGGGGGTGAGGCCACAGGTTAAGCTGGTGAGAAGCGTAGCACACAGCGAACGGCCACAGAAAATGGGGTGCACCGGCATGGATCATGGAGGTGCGAGCCACCTCCATGACCAAACCGATGCGGCGTTCAGCGACCCCATTCTGCTGTGGGGAGTCCGGTAGGGTGAACGTCTGGGTGATGCCCTCCGCACGACAAAAGCGACCAAGGACACCTGAGGCAAACTCGCCACCACGGGTGGAGTGAAGACGCAAGACAGGGAGACCTCGGTGGACACGGGCAGAGACAAGCCAGGGGATGAGAGCGTCAGGCACCTCGGCCTTCCGCTCCAGGGGAAAGACCGAGGTGTAGCGAGTGAAGTCGTCGACAAGCACAAGGAAGTAGCGCTCTCGACGTGGCCCATGGACGGGGGCGGGGCCCCAGACGTCCATGTGCAGGGTCTGCAGCGGCGCGGCGGTAGGGGGAAACGAGGAGGAGTGAGGGGCACGGCGAAGCCGACCCTCGACGCAAGGCGTGCAAGGTGGGGCTGGGGAGGAGGGAAAAGCGGGAAGAGAACCAGGGAGACCAAGGACGAGACCGTGCTGGGACATGTGACGCAGACGCGGGAGCGCAGGGTGACCTAGGCGGTGGTGCCAAAGGAGAGTCGGGTGAGTGAGGGACCGACAGGAGCAGGCAGCAGCAACCTGGGTAGACGCAGCCACCTAAAGGGGCGCCCCAGCCGGGGGGGTCACGGTGTCCAGAGTGAACAGGCCGGACACCGGGTCCCGGGGGAACGTGGACAGGGGGGCACCAGAGTCATCAGCATACATCACATGCAGAGCAGAAACAATGGCATCCATGTCCATGTCAAAAATTTGAATCCTACGACTAAGCAAACTGTGCCAGTCCGGGAGGTCTGGCGACGGGCCGAAGCGCTGACGAAGCAGGTCGTCCAGGCGACAAAAACAGCGGGGAGTGGTATGACCGAGCTTGTGACCTCGGTACAGACAGCATACCGCTTGTGACCAGGGAACGTAGTTGTGACGCCAAGGTCCTGGAGGTAGCCGACACCAACTAGGTTCCTGGAGAACGAGGGGATATGCAGACCTGTAAGAGAGCCCGAAGGAACCGCCAAACAGGGAAGGGTGGTGGAACTGTGGGCGACTATCGGACTGCCAGAGTGGTTAGCAAGAGAAACGGCAGCAGGTACAGAAAGCAGCGTTAGTGTAGTAGAGTCGCGGAAGAAGCACCGGGAAGTGCCAGAGTCCAAGGTGAAGGAAAGCGAAGCAGTGGCGTCCGGTGACGAGGCGACGGCGGAAGCACCAAGGCTAAACAAAGCAGGGGACCCTACGCCTGACGCAGCAGGGGAGGCTAAGCTAGGCACACCTTCACTAGACGACAATGAGGAATAAGCGGGAAGCGCACTACAGTCATCAGCATACATCACATGCAGAGCAGAAACAATGGCATCCATGTCCATGTCAAAAATCTGAATCCTACGACTAAGCAAACTGTGCCAGTCCGGGAGGTCTGGCGACGGGCCGAAGCGCTGACGAAGCAGGTCGTCCAGGCGACGAAAACAGCGGGGAGTGGTATGACCGAGCTTACCGCAAACGAAGTCGCGGCGAGGACCGGTTTGGATCTGGTACTGACAACGCACGCCTCCCGAACCACCACTCGGCACACCACCACGCGCCCGACCACCTCCAGCGCTAGGCCACCCGGGCGGGAGGACACTCGCGTGCCTCGTTTGCGGTGGCTGCTGCGGCTG